TTACTAGATGAGCTAACGGGGTCAATCAATCGTCATTTTGTAGAGCGTTTTTTACTGCATCTTTTCTTCATAGAGACAAATTTACAACCACTTATTTCACTATAGAAAAATTTATTATTCAAATCGAGTCAGGACTTCTGGCCCACTCTTTACAGAAAAGGAAAACTAGCGTGTTTCACATATTTCACAATATATAACAAATAAAAAACGTTAAAAAGAAAGGATATTTGTCGCAGTTCTATTTTATTCTTGGAACATTAAAATGTTTTTCTTTTATATACCAGCAGTCGTGTGCCAGTTTGCCTTTTCAATTAGAAGCATGTAAAAAAAACGATTCAAAGCCAACTTTTGAATAGTTTTGGGATCAAATACTCAAAAAACCAGCAACAACAGGTTTTTGGCACCTTTTTACCTAATATTATAGGACAACGAAATCTTAAACCCATGAGGGATATATATGAGTCGATGCAGTTTTTCATGCTCTATCCGAACATGGCGTCAAAAATAGGAAAAAAGTGTGGAACATGATCAAATATAAGAAATACTGATATGAGACCGGATTTTGCAGTAAGTAATGATGCGTAACGAGCCGAAATGGGCGCTTTTGCTTCGAAGTAATATGATCTTGATTTATATACGTCGATTTACCTATATCTGATAGTGACATTACCTTTACGAACAAAACTATTTACAAAATCCTTCTGACGAGGCCTGCAGGGCACAGGCCTAAACTGATTGCCATAGGATTGTTATGTATGCTGTGGCAGTCAGTCGGAGTGAGGCCCAGAAGAGATTTTGATACAATTATATTAACGCAGTGCTCAAAAACAAAATCTATTAAATAAGCAAAATAAATTGACATATTTTACAAGCCTCACCCTGACTGATTTATTATAATATAAGTCAGTCAAATATAATATTATATTGTTGCATCCATTGCGAACTTAACCCAACCGTCCTAGTGGGACTACTTTTGCACATCCGGTGCGGAAGTTTTCAACTGATTTACCTTAACGTCATTCGTAATGGCTGAAACAACTACAATACTTAATTGTCATTTATGCGACAAACTCATTCGCCGAGAGGAAAAATGTCGGCATCTCGAGAATTCTGAAGAATTATTAAATTATGCAATTAAAAATAAACTGTTGCAATTACAATTACCACCGCACAACACATGTTTTATGAAATTATATAACAAGAAAAACGCTGCTATATCGAACAACAGCTCGCAAAGCGAAGATGAATCAATGATGGATGTAGATATCCAAAAAGTGGATAAAGCAGTTCAAACTGATTCAATAACAGAATCATCAACAAGGAACATCACCAGAACCAAAACTAAATCTGTTTCTGCTATTACTGCTTCATCAACTTCATCATTTGTTACTCTCTCTTTCATTACCATTTTTTAGGCTGTTTAAATCACATCAAAAATGTTCAGTCTGTAAAATCTATTTTGCAAAAAACAAAACACGTTTTATTGAGGTTGATAACGAATTACGTGTCAACTGTTTACTTGACCATCACGTTTACATACAAGAAAATAGTAGATGTTGCACCAGTCATGTAATTGATGGTAGACTAAGCCAAAAAAGTATTGAAATAATTAAGAAAAAGAAATTAGATATGTCAACAATCACTCGTGATGAAATGATTAAATTATTTCAAGAAATAAAAGAGGAAATACGAAATAAAGAGAAAAAGTTAAATGATTTAAAAGATCGATCACCATTGAACTTCGGCGATCATGAAGAACTAATGAGTGACCAAAACTATTATGTTTTGACAGGCTTAACTCGAGATCAGTTTAACGATTTGTGCTCTTACATACCGCCATTCACTTTACGGCATAGTGATATTAGAACACCTAGAATGGCAATTGCTATGCTATCAGTTAAACTTCAGTTAGGTTTAAGTCATCAAGCATTATGTTGATTGGAAGAAAAAAAGCAAATCACTAGAATTTTAGACAGTGCTTGTTCTGCGTTAACACAGTATTTTGCACCTAAACATTTAGGTTTGGATATGTGCTACTAGCTCAGCAGTTACTGGCGGATGATGATCCGACCAAAGCTATAATTATACTAGATGGAACGTATGTCTATATACAAATCGGCAAATGGCCGTGTAGAGCAATGGCATTTCTTTAGTAACGTGATGCCAAATACGATGACAGAGAAAATAGACGATTATTTCGAAATCGTGTGTGCTTTGATAAACTGCTATAGACCAGTATTTGTTAAAGATACAAGCAAAGATAAAGAAATTGCCCAACAAATTCTACAATTGCCTAGTGAGACCAATAAAATAAAAGAATATATCGAAAAAATCAAAGATAAAACGGAAAGCAACCAAAGTAGACTAATCTAAACGCTACCAATAGTGTTGATAACTTTCCGAAAATGAATTATGATGAATTACAGAAGCTAACACTGAGTTCATACCAGTTAAAACAAGCACGTTCCTATACTACAGAACATTTATCAGAGGACGGAGCATATCTCGTAAAAGTCACAAACCAAAGGCAGGACCTTTTGCGAGCACAAATACAATCTCGTCACAGAAATGCTGTGAAACATGACCTATACATACAATATAACACGACAAAGGTTACAGGCTGGTATTGCAAATGCCCAAACGGGAGTCGTGTAGTTGATTGTTGCGCCCACATAGCTTCAGTAATATATTACCTAGCTTTTGCTAGGTATAATCTACAACACCTACAACCTTGATCATTCAAATACTACACCTCATTAACTGATGCTGTGGACTATTCTGATGTTTCAGATGCAGAAATAACTGACGAAGACGAAGATGACTCAAATATACTATATCATTTAGTCTAACCGCTTTATCTTTCTCTATTCCTGCCGACGTTTGCCTTGTAGCCAACTTTTGACGTTTTCACCTCGACTTCCATCTTGACTAATTCAACATAGATTTATTCATCCATTAATATACATAATATCATTCTTGTACATATTGTTTATTGCTTATCGAAATATTTTAAGAAGTTGATTAATATAAAAAAATAATAAAAAAACAAAAAAAACATACCCGGTCGAAGATAGAATGGGCTCTACGTGCCGACCGGGATCAACACTGCGTTTTACAGTGGCTAACAATTCTGTTAACATCAGTATAATATCAACTTTTGATAAATATCCCAAAATTCATGATTATCGCGTTGCTGTCAAAAAATCTGAGAAGTCACATGAGAATTCTCTTACGAAATCTAGTCTCATCGCAGTAATTCTAATATTTGATCATGTTCCACATTTTTCTTCCCTATTTTTGACGTCATATTCGGATAGAGCATGAAAAACTGCATCGACTTTATAATGTCGTTGTTAGGTTCCCCAACGTCGGCAACCGGCAATAGTCTTCTATTAGCATCCTGCAGTAATATTGGTTTTTCTCGATGAAAACTTCATGCTTTTCGAATTTTGACCAGAAATTCAGAATCAGCATCAAATTCCGTATCTGCTGATGTATGAATCAAAAGATTTTGAAAAAAAATTTTCGATGGTCCTGGGGTCCTCCTACCGGTGCAAAACTACAGGTAAACAATGAAAGTCGTTTTTCGACAGAAAAAAATACCTCATTTTACTCAGAATTTAATGCTGATTCCGAATATGTAATTCTTTTTCAAAAATATTTTGGGCAAAAACATGGCCTTACCGCCACTTGTCCTTTGTTCTTATCTTATTTTATTCTTTATACAGAAACCAAAAGGATTTCTCTGTAGGAAAGTTTAAATAGAATCATAATAGAATAAACTGTAGAAGAAATCTAACTTGTCATAAGAAAATATTTTCTTTCCTTTTGTTCATATGGAGTCGAAGTAAAAAATCATTTTTGCTAGCGCCTTATAGATTTGACTGACACTGTCCTAATAATGAGCTTGTAGATCTATTACTTGGTTAATTCGCTTGAACGAGTAATCGTCATTCCTTTGTTGTTGAAATAATCTACTGTGATGTCGCACAAATTATTTAGCGTTGTTATTAACGCTATTAAGATTGAGTAAAGAAAAATAAAGACATATAACATACCAGCTAGATTGCTTAATATATACGATGCTTTGTGCGATCCATTCTTGTTTCGTCGACACTAATTAAACTATTCTTGTTTCGTCGACACTAATTTCTTGCTCGTTTCGTCGACACTTTTTTTATCTTGATTCGTCGACAAAATGTTTTTAATCAATTAAACTTGATTCTTGTTTCGTCGACACTTTTTTTTATCCG